GTGTACTTCGTCAATCTGCCTATTCTGCTCCCCACTATGTCTCTGGTGAATCCTCTCACCGCCCCTGCACCACTGTCCTATACCCCAACTCTTGTATGCATCGATAAATCTTAAAACTAAACATGTTCAGATACTATTTTAATGAAGCCAAAAAAAAAGAATTTTATAACTGAAAGGAACTTACCAAGATTTAGAGAAGCAATACCCATGTTCTTCTGCAGTCTGGAGTCACCAGTCTCATCTGCCATTGCCCTGGAACCACTGGGACATCTGCAGTTGGCCAGTCAGGGGTGTAAGTTGACTGAACCCACCCCTGCCCCTTCTCTTGCGTCTTCACTCTGGGATTCCCACCCTGACCATCAGGAATGACTGACACCTTCCTGGAGAGATGACTATCTCCCTTTCTTCCCTCTCTACCAGAAGACCAAGAAATGAAGGAGCAGTGGGCGGGAGAGCCAGCCTATCCTAATGACCTGGCAATCCTGGGTACATAGTCAGACCCTCGCTCGGTCTGCAGGTAAATACCCCTGACTACATACACACCTGCTGCCTTCTAAGCTGCCTTGGCCAACTCAGGCTAGCACTGCCTGACAATGCTGATCCAAGTGCTATTCCCTCATACAGTGAACAACCCCAGGGTGGCACATTCACTACCACGTGAGGTACCAGCTCCATCTGGAAGCCTTAGGATGGTGTTGGGCTGAGAGCTATCCCAGCTCCCCGTTCTAGGTCTTTGAAGTACCGGGCAAAGGAAGTTACCGGTCACTTAGCAAGCAAAAACAGCCACAGAACAAAGACCCTACACAAGATAGTTTTCAATCAAGCTTTTAATGAAAAGATCATAAAATAACAGTTTCTCATCACTGTACATTAAGACTGCACACTTCTGAATGGAGAGATCAGTCGTCGGTGAATTGCTTTTCTATGACACTTGAGGCTGCATACGTGCAGCTCTGACCTGAATTTATCCAAACTCTCGAGGGAAGTGAACTCAATGTGATGACTGGTAGTGGCGGTGACCAGTACAGGAGTGCGATCACGGTGTCCCTCCCCCTTTCTGGGAAGGGCAAAAAGTAGGACATGATCCCTCTTCCAGTTCTGATTAAACAAAAAGTTCTAACCCCCATCCCTCCCCCTCCCCTTTGAGGTATTTGCAAATGGGTCAGTGCCCAACCTGGGGTCCCCCAAAGGGGGAAAGGGGAAAGCAAGTGATGGGTGGAGTAGAGAGGTTCCCCTCAGCACCTGGCCCCACAGGGCCCCACCAAGTGGGGAAGGGGAGCCCTAGAGATCCTCCCTACCCCGAGTGAGGTCTGTTATGCAGCATTTTTGAGGTCAATAAATTACAGCAATAAATAGCAAGGTGAGGTAGGGGGAGGGATTCCCGATAGAAACTTAAAGTGGGATAACTAAAGCTGGGGTTCTCAGAAGGGGGTCCTGGGCAGCCTTAATTCCCACAGCTTACACCCACCCCAATTTGGAATGTCAGACTGAGGCTATGGTTAGGTACCCCTTCCATCCCCTCACTCCTGGCATTGGATTCACAGGTTCAGTATTGCCTGTCCCCCATCCCCAGGGGAAGAGCCAGGGCCTTGGTCCCTTCAGGGTGCACAGCAGAGTTATTCTGTCCTCTTAAGAGCTGACACCTCTGCTTTTGTCCCCCAGGCCAAGGGGGCACCAGATGTATGTAGTCACCTCTTCCCTGGGCCCTGTCCTCCTGGCTGCCCAGGCCTCACCCCAACCCAAGATGGCTGTGCGAGAGGCAGCTGTGGTCTGCCAGCCCAGCCCACCCAGCCCAGATCGCACTCCTGCACATGGTGAGTCCAGTGAATACTGACAGACAGGGGATGGGGGTGGGACAGTCCAGCACCCCAAGTGGTGATAACGGGAAACACGTAAGACTGCATGAGGTCCTGAAGGTCAGTCTGGGTCCAAATTGTTCATTGTTCGTTTCACAGGCTGAGGTGTATGGCTATGCTATGAGTCTCTGAGATTATTTGCTTTAAAGGTTCATCTTTTCTTTACTTTTTTTTTGTTGGTTTTTTTTGTTTTTTGTGTTTTTTTTTTTTTTGGTTTTTGTTTTTGTTTTTGTTTTTTTGCAATCCTGGAGGAGCCCTAACAATGGCTCGGTCTGGAGGGAGCATGCCATGGCGGAGGCCAGCCTGCAGCTCCCCCGCCCCAAGTCTGAGAAATAAATACATTCATCACTGCACAAACATATTGATACAAAAACAACACTGTTCAGAGTGTTTGCACCGACTGTGTTGATAAAGGCCAGCCCAGTCAGTCCCTCCCACTGCCAGAAGTGGGGATGGAGAACTGCTGGAGTTAATAGGGAGCTGTGCAAAGGTCCCAGTTTTTTGGCTTGAGAGGGACCCTCACATCAACACCCCCATCCCCCAAGAGTCCCAGGCAGAGCAGCAGAAGGGGTTTGGCTCCATCCAGGGGCCCAAGCCCAGATGGGTCCTGTGGCCAGAGCCAATTGCCACCCCCTGCTGTGCCAGCCAGTCAGGACCACCACAGTCCAACCAGAAGGCCTGGAGGCTGGTCAACACAGGCCCAAGCTCTTTGGTGCCAGCTGGGCTGAGAGAGGCCCAGGGCTAAGTAAAAGGGCTCAGGTGAATCCGGGGACCTCCACTCCTACCCCAACCCCATCTTTCCCCCTTCCCTGTGAGCCATTTCAGGGCCAATTCAGAAGGGCCTCTGGCAGAAGCTGGGTACTCGGTGGGACTGGCCTTAAAACTGCTGAGGTCTGAAACTGTAAAAGTTTATGTAAACAATGAGATAAATATATTAGTATCTTTTTCTGAGCCCATTGAGGTTCCATACTCATTCAAAATGTGCTTTGGTTTAAAAAATAGGTTTTGTGAATTTGGGTATGAGCTTTCTTTTTTTTTTTTTTCTTTTTTTTTTTCCTTTTTTTTTTTTCTTTATCCTCTTTCCTACATGACATCTGCTATTTTCTGTTTCCTGTTTCTCCGAAACATTCAGGAATTAAGTGGCTAAAGCAGAGAACTGTAAGCCGCCCTTGGCCTCCAACGGCCTAATTTACTTGTGAGGCTCTTAACATATCGCCATATACACACTCACAAGCACACATTCAACATGAAATCAAAGGAAAAAGAAAACAAAACCAAGTGTTGTGTTAATCCCACCCCGCCCCACAAACCCTTAAAATTTTAAATAGGAAACTAGTGTTTTGCTTTCTTGTTAAAATACAGAAAAGGCTCGATACAATACTCAGGTGGGTACAATACTATGTCGCACAAATGTCGTTGAGTGAGGGGCCTTTGCGCCCAGTCCCTGAAGCTCTGCAAATGAGTCACCTACTTTCAAGAGTCACCTCTGGGTGGTGGCTGCCCATGGCCCAGGAGGTTACGCACAGGGCGGGTGAGTGTACGATTCCCGTGCGGTACAGACTTTGTGTCGTGTAGCTTAAGTGCTGACAGAGTGGGGTGGGGTCAGGAGAGCAGAGGGGTCTGAAACAAAGTGGGGGATTTCCCTGGCCCAGATTCTCAGTCTAATTTCCTGGAACACAAGACTCTGGGTTCAGTTCTCTGTTTCCCACCCAAAGGGCAGAGGAGCCAGATCACTCCTAAACACACCATCCACCACTCAGGGTCCCTGAACTCAGGCTCTGTTTTCAGCTAGAGTCTCTGGAGGGGTGGAGGGATGGGAACAGGGGGTGACTCTGGAATTTTTTGGTCTGAACTTAAAGTAGAAAGGAAAAGGAGAAATAAAAGCACAAAGCAAATAAAGCAGATAAAGTAGATAAAGTCGCTGGCCCAACTTGTGGCTCCAGTCAGTTGAGGATAATGGGACCAACCGTGACAAGCTTGGTCTAGCCTTGAGAGCCCAGCTATGGGTCTGTGAGATGTCTGAGGCTAGCAGAGAAAGCCAAGTGAGGGACAAAGGCTAAGACAGGGCTAGGCAATGGGTGGCTGGCTGCTTGCCTCTCACCAGAGCAGCTGGTTGTGGGCCAGGACCAACCAGAGAGGTGCCAAAGCAGGGCAGATCCCTTCGCTATGCCCCAGGGGGTATACAATGCTTTGGTCAGCCCCTCTCTAAGCCAGGCTGGAATTGCTGATCCCCCAAGCTCAGGCTCCTACAGGCCCAGGGGACAGGATGGGGGGGGGGCTCACTTCCACCTCATCCTGGTCCTGGCAGGAAGCTGCAAGGAGCATGGCTCACACTGTTGGGTGCCCAGCAGGCACCTAGACCCACACCAGGTGCTTCAAGGGGGTTGGATCACTCATCCTCCAAACCTGGACCCAGACCAGAGGCTCCCTGGAGTTCAGCAGCACACTCAGAACACACAGAGAAAACGTACATGCAAGCCCAGAGACTCACAACGACAGAAGCACCCTCCAAGAGCACCAGGGCCCAGGACTGCACCTTGGCTGAGCCCAGGAGGGCTGCCCTAGCTGGCCCAAGTCTAGCTCACTCAAACACATGCCTTCCTGTGCCTACTAACAGGAGAAAAAAAAGTGTCTTGGCCTCAACTGCCAATCACCAACGCACTGTTCTCGTGAATTCAAGAGGTAGCAAAAGGTCAGAAGTCTCTCCACCTTGATCAGTAAGGAAGGAAGGAAAGCGCAACATCTGTTCACACACACCACACACGCACAACAAAGAAAATGAAAAACAAGAGTACCGACAGCTCTGGCATCGATTCCAGCCTCCCCCCGCCCGCCCCCCCACGAACCCCAGACCTTCCAGTTCAAACATTCACATAAACGTTACACTGTTTTTTCTCTTAATAAAAAAACAAGTACCTCTAAACAAAGCATATTCCTCAGAAAACTATAGGAAAAGCACTCTCTCTCCTGAGGCAGCCGAGGCAGGGCTCGGGGCCCAGGGAAGCCTTTGGGCAAGAAGGGTTTCTGGGGCCTTGAAGGGATGGACACCCAGCAGCCCACAGCCAGGGGGGTGGGGGAGGGGCGGCTGCCCCTGTACATTCAGTCTGCAAACCCAAGCTCAACCCCTAGGGGCTGGTAGGAAAATCAACTCTTGTTGGTTTTGGTTTAAAAAACAAAATTCAAAAAGAAAAAAGGAACAGATCAGTAGGAATAACAGCAACAGAGGCCCAGAGGGCTATTTAGGTATGGAGAGGTAGGCGGTGAGGCCCCTGGCTTAAAGGACGGATGGCTCTGTGCCCTCCTCAAGCACCACTCCTGCAGAACCAGGGCCGCCAGAACATAGACAAGCACTCGTGCACACACGAACACCACCCCTGGTTCCCAACAGAGGGAAGGCCCCACTCCCCTGTGGGGAAGGGGTCGGATCCCAGAGAGATCCCATGACCCACTCCCGTGGGTGTCCTCGCAGAAAGGCAGAGGCCTGGGTGGTGTGGGGAGGTAGACTGGACACCTGTGACGCACACGTGGGACTTGTGCCCGCTGCTTTCCTCCTCTCTTCCCTTGGTACAGACTGTTGATTAAAGCTCTGGGTGTTGGGGGGGCAGGCCGGAGGTGCCACCAGGAGCCACCCCTGCTGGACCGCAGGGTTCCGGTCCCGCCTGCCCGGCCTCCAGTCCCACCTGCCTGGCCTCCTTGCTTCTTCCTTCCATTGGTTCCCAAGGGCAAGTCTGCAGACAGTGCCCTGGGTGGGGGAGAAGGGTCTTTGGCTTCTAGGAGGGGGAGGTATGCATGCGCAGGTGGCTGATGAGGTTACGCTGCTGGGTGAACTTGCCCCCACAAAGCTGGCACTCATAGGGCTTCTCGCCTGAGTGCACACGCATGTGCTCGGTGAGGCGGTACTGGCGGGTAAAGCGCATGCCACACTCGTCACAGGCAAAGGGCTTCAGGCCCAGGTGACTGCGCATATGGCGTGTCATGGTGCCGCGCTGTGTGAACATCTTGCCACAGATGTTGCAGGGGAAGGGCCGTGTCAGCCAATGTGTCTTCTCATGCTGCCGAAGCGTGGCCGGGTCCTTGTAGGTCTTCTCGCAGACTGAGCACTTGAAGGGCCGGGGCTCAGTCGTGTAGGCCGCACTGGGTGCTGACAAGTCCTCAGCCTCCTCCTCAGCACCCCCACTACCGGTCTCGTAGGCACCCTCCTCCTTGATAAACAGCTCCTCTTCCGTATGCGTCTCCACATGGGCATTAAGCTGCTCCGAGCTGGGGAAGCCTTTGGCGCAAGGGATGCACACGTACAGGTTGTCCCCATAGGACACGGTCTCATAGCCCTCCTGCCGGTATACGTAGTGGGTGCCCGTGTGGCCGCTGCCACCCTCACTCCCACTCTGCCCGCTGTCCTCGCTCCCATCCTTGCCATTCTCCTCTTCCTCCTTGCAGGGGTATGTAGGCTCTCCGTAGGGCCCACTGGGACCAGCCCCTCTGACACTGCTGGCCAGGATACCATTGGGAACCCTGTCCCCAAGCCCCTCTCCTTCTTCTCCTGGGCAAGGACCCTTGGGTCCTCCTTCCCTCCGCTCAAAGGGTGAACCTGCCACAGTCTCCTTCTTGCTCCACTCTTTTTTGCGGGCCGAGTGCCGCAGGCTCTTCCGAGGTTGCCCACCAGGCCCCTCCAGCAGGCTTAAGTGGTTGTCCTCTACCCCCTCCAGATCCATTGGCTCATTGGGGGTGCCCCCCAGCTCCGCATACGAGGCACTATTGGCAACAGGAGGGGCAGAGGTTGAGAGGGGTGAGCCATGCTGACTGTCGCTCAGCTGGGCCGGGTCATCAGGAGTGAGAGGAGGACCAGGGGTGGTAGGCGGTAAGGGGGGGCTCTTCTTGGACAGGTCTAGGCCCAGCTCCTGCTCACAACCCCCGCTGCTCCCATTGGTACTGCAGCTGCCCAAGCCAGCCTCCCCACTAGCTGGACAGATAGCCCGGCCCAAGCCGTGTGTGCGCTCTTGGTTAGAACTGCTGAGGAAAAGCTCATCATCTGAGCCTTTGGCCTGGGAGAGCTCCTGGGAGGAATGGGTCCCCTTACGCCCATCGACAAGACCTGAATACCGAGCCTGGATTACAGAGGCCGTGGAAAGCCGCTGGCTGCGGGGGGGGCGCCCCATACCAGCAGTTCCCACCCGTCCAGAGCCAAAGGGTTTGCCAGCACGCTTGAGTTTGCGGCGGCACAGGGCTGCCAACTCGGGCAGCTGGAGGTAGCTGGCGGCAGTAAGGAGAGTGCTGAAGTTGGGCTCGGCCGGCTGGTCACTGGGCAGCAGCTTGCCTGTGTAGATGAAGTCCAGGATCTGCTGGAACACTGTGGAGCTGACCATGTCCGTGTCCAGGTTGATGAGGTTGTCGTGTAAGACCAGGGACTTGAAGTAGATGCTACTGGCAGCCAGGACATTCTTGTGGGCCCGGAAGATGGAGTTCTCCACCATAATGATGACATCACACAGGAAGCCCTTCGTCCTCTGCTGGTTCAGCTGCAGCAGGAGCTGCTTTGAGTGGCTGGGCAATTCCATGTCGGGCCCCATGTCCCCACGCCCTGCCCACGCGCACCACCTGTGGGCAAGAATAGGTACATACCTGTTAGCTGACAGGCGCCCTGGTGCATGGAAGGCACTCAGAAGGGTGCCGTAGGTCACTTCTTTGGGTATAATACACAGGGATGGGACTCATACTGTCCACCAAGGCCTCATACTACCAGAGAAAGGACAGCAGCACCAGTGCCATTTGCAATTTTGGAAAAGGAAGCAGAGAACAATGAAGGTCACAAGTACAGAAACGGGGATTTAAATTTGGCCCCACATTTGGAGGTTCTTCCTCAGCCTGAGCTAAAGGAAGTCAATCATATGCCCACAGGGGCCCAGAAATGAGAAATGATCATGATCTAGGGGGACAGGAGCCACTGAACAAAATGACTTCCTGCATGAGCACACAGGTGCCCCAGCTTTCAGCACAAGTGAGAAATCCAAATTTCTCATGTGAAGTCAAACAATGCAAAATTGAAGATTCTTTTCCCTAAACAACATGTGGGCGAAATTAAGTACACAGCTTCTGGTCTGTGACCTCTACACTATACTGGGAACGTCCCAAATAATCCTAGACGTTTCCCAAGCGTTTAGATTTGCCAACATTACACTACTACTTCCAAGACCTAGTGCTTTCTACCACATCCCTCATCAAGGCCTGCCCCTACTCAGCAAGGGCCTCACTCCAAGGGGGACCTGAGCATACCCCCAGCCCACTCTGCCAGGAGCCAAGCAGGGAAGGTAGCTTGGCTAAGCTCCAGTACAGGCCGGGCCCACGGAAAGGCAGCCAGCTGGTCTTGCCAGACCACCCTAACTCTAAGTGATATCACTGAAGTAATCGATACACAGAGGCCTCTGGCCTCCTCAGGAAACCTGAAGGTGGGCTGTACGACAGTGTGCCCGTGGGTCTCCAGCTCAGGGTGCTCTAACCTCACACCCACTCCATTGAGCAGCAGGGCCCAAAACACAAGACTGTGGCTCCCTGCCCGCCAAGAGCAGGCAGCTCTGCATGACATGTTGACAAGAGAGCCTTCATGCCCTTCCATTCATGGCTCAAAACTCTCAAAGTAACTGACCGCTGGGAGCTAGAAGCCTCGCCACCGGGCCCCTACCTCCACCCAATCTTCTCCTACCAGGAGGCACAGCTCTGCCTCCCTTAGGCAAGAAAGAATCTGAGAGGAAAACACACACCCAGCTTTCCAGTCATATACATTCTTCCTTCTCCCCTGCCCTACACTTACCCTTGTTTGTAAACACAGAGGGAAACTTTAGTAATCATGTACAGCCTAAAGAAGGCTTCAGAGTTCTCCATGAATGCACACAAGCTAGCACTCAGGGCCTGATGCAGGAGGCAGCAAGCACCTTCTCAACCAGGTCTGTGTCCAGAGAAAACCAACTATCCTCCACACTCCCTGCCTCTAACCAGCAGATGGAGACAAAGAGCCCAAGGCATGGCTTCTGTGTCTTGGCCCCCAGGAAGCCGTGTTAGCTCTGCCAGCACCTAAGATACCTGGTGCCAAGCCTCACAAGGGGAAAGACCAGGGACATGAAGCACCTCTGAGCGCTTACGTTCCCGCAACAGCCTCTCCTCCCAGGACTGAGAGCACCAGGTCCCAGCGTCCCCACCACACTGCTTGGACCTCATGCATCATACAGACTACAGTCTACAATGAAGGACCACAGTTTCAGAGCTGTGTGGGTCACCCAGAAAGTCCCAAGAAGGAGAAGGTGGCCATCCTCTAGACCCCACACCTGCACAGTCCCAGCAGTACCCGCTTTCCCAGCCTACCGGAGTGCCAGGGGCCCAGAAACCATGTGAGCAGCAGCCAGCGGGGGTGGCCTCCTTGAGTGCGTGGCCTCCCTGGGGGTGCATCAATGCCTGGTCACCTGGGGAGAAGATGGACAAGGTCACCTAACATTGGTATCAGTAAGGAAGGACAGGGAAAGGGAAGGCACCTTGTTGCCTGGGAAAACTTATTCCTGTAAAGTCTGAGGATCTCTCTAGTTGGGATGAAAGCCTTGGACAGCCCAGACAGTGGCCACAGGGTCCCCTAAGCCAGGTGGCAGGAAGGTTGCAGGTCTGGGGCACTGAGCAAGTACTGCACCTTCCTTCTACTCAGAAGGCTTGGGGTATTTTAAGGGCCACCTTAGCCTGGGAGAACTAACAGAAAGCACACAATTCCAGATGGGTGGGTAGCAAGAGGCCTGGACAAGGTTCTCTCCCAGCTGGTTAAATTTATGTAACAAAAGGGCAACAGTGGAATCACTGGTGCCACTGACTTTTTGTAACAACCAGTGTCAAATGACTGTGGCTCTCTTGCCTCCTTCCCTTCCTATCTGCTCTCACCCACTCCTGCCTACCCCAGTTCACCACATGGCCTCCCCTCAGTTCTGCAGTCTCTGTCTTTCAATACCAGCCCTCCTAAATCGCTGACAGCTACCCCATGATGTAGGTAGGCTTCTCTACTACCCAGAACTCTGGGTAGGGGTCCTAAGAGGCTGGCACCTTGCACACCTCTCAGACAAGCTTAGGCTCCCTTGGAATGGAGCCGCGGGGAGGCCTGCAGCAGCCTAGAGCCCATCCCTGCCTGCCCTTCCCCCACCCCTAGGGCCTGGGAGGCTCAGCAGGTCCCTCAGGAATGTGGCCAGACCCGGGGTGCAAGGTGGCTGGGAGGCCTCTGCTCCAGACTGCCAGCTGTCTTTCTAGCCTGGACCATAGCTCCCCTCTCACAGATAGGGCCTGGGGCAGGGAGAGGCAGGAGGACAGCTAGTCCAGGAGCCTACCTACAAAGACTGCCCAGAGGGCAGCAGAACCAGCTTGTATGTCCAACAGCCTGAGAGCACCCATGTTTTATGAGGGCATTCTTCTGTGGGCCATTCTTCTGTGGGGAGGTCAGAGATGGCCAGCTGGACTGGGCAAAGCCCAGCCTTGACAAGGGACTTAATCCAACCCAGAAGAACAGACATAAAGCCAGAGCAACCAGACAGCTGTGGTGTAGTCTTACGCCACCATGACTGCTCCTCCTCACCACAAATTGGGTGAATCTGAGCCCTGCCTTGGCATAATACCCGGCCTGTAGCATCCACCTCAGCACTGTGACAGACCTTGCAACTATCAGAGATCAAAGTGCGAATAAGACTTAGGGGTACTCACACAGGACTATGGAGGCAGACACTTCACCAACCCAGATTAGATCTCCCAGACAAGAGTCAAATGTAATTCTGTTCCCTCCCCACCCTCCAAGCCTGCCCTCCCGCAGGGGTGGCTCAGCAGAACAGGGTAGAGCAGCCTTGCTATGCTCTTTACTGGGGAGAGTCAAGGTGGAGCTATCTGCTGGGAGGTAGTTCACAGTCAGCACAACGCCAGCAGATGCTACCCTGCCTGTCACCAATTCCAGGCCGGGCCATGTTCAACTTCACCCCCATTTGAGAGGGTCACATGTTCCCTGGCTGCAAGGTGCCAGGCCTCCCCAAAAGCCCTTTTCTCCGCAGCCCAAATGACGACAGCCAGAGACCCCTACCCTACCACTCAACAGTGGGTATGGAAGCAAGAATCTACCCCAGAGACACCCTGCCGGGGGTAGCAGGTAAGTAGGAATTCGATTGTGGGGGCTGCCCAGCAAATTGGTTGTGTAATGGTCCACAAGATGAGAGGGCTAGGCCAAATCCTCCCAGGAGCCTAACATCGGTGTGAATGGGGATGCTTTTTAGCACTGGCTCTTAAGAGCATCCAACAGCCCTCTGCTAGCAGGCACAGTCAGCACACCTATCAGTTCCAAGGAACCCAGACTGGGGGTAGGACCAGCTCTGCACCATGTGAACACAAAAGTGTGGAGGAAATGGTTAGACTTCAACAGTGGGCAAGAGCCATGGCCTTCTAACCCCACGGAGGAGCACCCTAACAGAGCTTCTACTTGGTCATGATTCCAGTCAAGGCTTCACGAGATCAGGGAAAGATCAAAACAAGCCTAAAAGACTCCTGGCACACTCAAAAAAGCAGGTAAGGGGCCCTCCCTGGTGGCGCAGCAGGTTAAAGCACAGCACTAAGAAGCTAAAGCCACTTCAGCACAAGTTTGATCCCCACCCTGGAGGTGATCCACCCCAGAAGTGATCCACATGATGCAGCAGACCTCTCCTGACCCGCCGCTGCTCCCCTCAGCAGTGTACTTCATCAATCTGCCTGTTCTGCTCCCCACTCTGTCTCGGGTGAAGCCTCTCAGGTCTGCAACTCTGATCTGTACCCCAGTTCTGTATGCATAAACAAACAAATCTTTAACAAAAGAAATAAGCAGGCAAGTATGCTCCGGCCCAGCACCTTTCGGAGGCTATCAGGTCTTAAGGTGAGAGTGCCCCTTGCTTAAGCACAAGCCATGGAGAACAACTCCAAGGCCCTAATCTGATGAGAGTTGCCCCAACTCAGTCTGGTCATCCACCCTGCCCAGAACTTTGCCAAAGGAGGCTGAGGCAGTACTGCTCTAGTCATTTGGCCTCCAAGTGGTGCCACCAGAGTGCAGGAAAACAGTCCTGCAACCACCTGGGGTCTGATGAGGGTACAGAAGAACAATGTCAGACCCCACCTTCATGTCTCCTGGTGGAAGCCAAACTCAGGATGTAGTTCTCACAGCTGGTATTTCTGACTCTTATGAACAGTATCCTCCTCAGAATGTTGTCCCTTCTAGTCTATGCCTAGTGACTACCTGCAGACAGAAAAGAACCACCTCCCAACCAGAGGAATCTTCTGGCTTGACTGACACCCATCTCAAATTCAGGAAATTTTTCCCAGCCCACACCCAGTCCGGATGAAGGGCCCTGGAGAGAAACACAAAAGACAGGGAAAAGGGGGGGGTGGGGGTGTAGTGTTTAACCCTGCTTCCCCATCCTGGGTAGACCTCCTTGCCAGGGCAGGCCTGCAGGAGATCTGGAAATATGTTGGGGGACTGGAAGAAGTTCTGCCTACCCAAGACAGACACCCACCTACCCAGGTGTCCTGGCAAGACACCCAAGAACAGAATAACTGTTCTTTCACCACCTCCTGGCAAGGAACACCTAACCAGAATTACAAAGTGACAGAAGACTCTTCCAGCTGAGGGTGGTGAGTTGCCCATTCCACTCAAAGCCCTACTGTCAGATGGGAGGTGCAAGGTATGCCAGGCAGAGGGTCATAACTGGACAAGGCATGGCAACTGAGCAGCTTTTGCACCCACTGGTGCATCTACGTCAAAAAGAGCCCTAGAAACACCAGCACCTAAGGGCCCTCCCTGGAGGCGCAACAAGTTAAAGCACAGCACTGTGAAGCTATGGCAGCCACTGCAGCATGAGGTCATCAGCCAGGGAGGCGATCCCCATGGTGTGGCAGACCTCCTCCTGACCCACCTGCTGCTCCCCTAAGCAGTGCATTTCAGTCGATCTGCCTGCTCAGCTCCCTACTCTGTCTCTGGTGAATCCTCTCACCCCCCACACCGTTGGCCTGTACCCCAGTTCTGTATGCATGAATAAAGAAATCTTTAAAAGAAATTAATATCAGCACCCAAGTCAAGGTCCCAGCCAACCGTTACTGAAGTTACCTACTGCTCCAGGTATGGCCCAGACAGGTTCCTGCCCTGTCTCTTCCCTGAGGGAAAGAAAGTCTTCCAAACTATAGAACAGGACAGAGTGGATACGGCATGAAAGGTACAAGCACTCCAGAATCAAGAAAAGCCCTAAAACCCAGGGCTGGGCGCTCCCTGGTGGCGCAGCAGGTCAAAGCACAGCACTAAGAAGCTAAAGCCACTTCCGCATGAGTTCGATCCCCACCTGCCCCGGATGTGACCACATGGCGCAGCAGACCTCTCCTGACCAACCCGCTGCTCCCCTCAGCAGTGTACTTCCTCGATCTGCCTATTCTGCTCTCCATTCTATTTCTGGTGAAGCCTCTTGCCGCGCCCCTGAGTCTCTGGCCTGTACGCCAGTTCTGTATGCACAATAAATCTTAAAAAAAAAAAAAAAAACCAGGGCTGTCCTGGAGGTCTAGAGTTCTCCTTCTCTCCCCCCTTCTCTGCTAGAGTTCACCATGAAGCTTTTCCTAACCCACCAGGGTCTAGGCCTCTCCCTCTTTCACCTGCAAGGCAGGCCATGTCTCATCCAGCACAGCCCCATTCAAGAAGACTGAGGTGTTATCTCCACCTCCAGTATCAGATAAAAAGACAAGGTTCTGGGTCTTAAACAACTTGCCCAAGGTCTCAAGAGCAAGCAGGGGGCAGAGCGTGAAGACTCAAAGCCTGATTGATCCAGAACTATACTGTCAGAATTTCCCTACCCCTTGGGAGGACACCAAACATCTCCCAGTCCCATGCGCACCGCACCCCCAGCAACTAAGCCTTGCCTTTCATAGGAACCAAGAGTGTGGTGCACGCTACTATCCTTTCTCCAACCTCCCACCACAGCCTGCCTGCCTGTCACAGCAGAATTTCAAATGGCTTGCATTTTTCTGAACTCACTGTGAGAGTAGGGTAGGCCCAGCTCCTTCACCACCAGAGGCAGTGAGAAGCATCTGGCTAAAAGTGACAAGGTGGGAAGCCCTGTTGTGCAACCTACTTTAGAGGCTGACTGGCCTGCTGCTACTCAGGGAATACCACTGTCCTCTGTAACCTCTCTGGCCTGTCCCTCCAGGCATGGGCTGGTAGTGGATGGAACTCAGTGCTCTGAGCAAGCCCAGTCGTGTAATCCAGCCCAGACCTGGATGGTGGCCAGCAGTTCCTGGCTCTTCTCCCAGACCTTCCTCCTGGAAAGCAACAAGCACCGTAAATGCCAGCAGCCCAGCCCTCAATCCTATGTGGTTTCTGCAAAATAAACACATGGGTTCCACTCGGCACATCAGTGACTGGGAATATGGGGTTAGCCCTACTGCCCACGCATTGGCTCGCCCTAAACAGTTAGGAAGGTGGCAGCTACCCCAGCCCAACTTCCCTGAAAATCAGCACT